CACACACACACACACACACACACACACACACACACACAGAGACTTTCTCTCTCTCTCTCTCACACACACACACACAGACTCTCACTCTCTCACACACACACAGACACACCAACACACACACACACGTCTGGTTTGCTATCCTTGTGGAGACTCTCCATAGGCGTAACGGTTTTTATACTGTACAAACAGTATTTTCTATTGTCCTACACCAGCCCTACCCCTCACAGGAAACTTTCTGCATTTTTAGATTTTCAAAGAACTTAATTCTATGTGATTTATTAGCTTGTTTACCCGTGGGGACCTCAATTTAGGTCCCCACCATGACACGAGTCCCCATGAGTTTGTGTGTAGTCAGGTTTAAGTCCCCACCAGAATAGAAAAACAGGTACACACACACACACACACACACACACACACAGACACACACACTCTCTCTCTCACACACACACACACACACACACACACACCTCGTCGTCTGAACTGTCCTGGAAGCCCTGCGCCAGAGATGAGCTGAGCGACGCAGCCTTGGGCTCCAGATAGCAGAGACACAGCGCCAGCGGGAAGGAGAGCGTGAGCGCGTACGGCACCGAGAACGAGGTGGAGAGCAGGAAGAAGAAGATGAAGAGGAAGCAGGGGATGAGTGACGGAGATTTGATGGGCATAAAGTGATGCAGGCTCTCGGGCAGAAAGCGCAGCTCGGTGAGGTCGGGGAAGCTCAGGTAACCGTCCTCATCCAGCAGCGAAGGCAGATCAGGGAGGTGCAGCGAGAAGGAGAACAGCGTTCCTCCTCGACTCTGGCTCAGTCTCTGTTTGCGTGCGGACAGAAGCAGCGCTTGTTCCTCCAGCAGAGCCGCTTTACGGTCCGCTTGGGCCTGACGGCGCCGGCAGCCCGCCGTGGTTTTGGCTGGACTGACGGAGGCGGCGCGCTTGCGGCTGCTTTCCCTGCGTCTCCTGCGCACTTTGGTGGACGAGACGGGAGAAGACGGTAGGGAGAGCTCAGATCCCAACGGATCCGATGAGTACAGACACGACTGATGACGATGGAGGGAGAAAACGGCGTAGGGAAAACATGCATGCATAAAAAAGTATGCATGTTTGAAACAAAAATGTGTGGTCAAGAGAAGAGCAAGAGAGCTGGTTAGCATTGATTAGACATCCTTTTTGATTATATAAAAAAAAAAAGATAGAAATTTCAGAATTTGAGAAAAATAAAACTGAATTTGAGAAAACAAATAGAGCATTTTAGAGGGCATTATTGTTGTTAGAATTTTACTACGTTTTCCAATGTAAAAGTTTTATGAATTGAATTGACTAGACATCCTTTTTGATTACAAAAAGAAAAAATTAATTTGGGAAAAAATAAATAAATTTCTTGGCCACTATTATTGTTAAAATTATATATTATCAAATTGTAAAAGTTTTGTGAATTAAACTTAAATTAGACATCCTTTTTTGATTGTAAAAATTCATAGAAATAAAAACTTATAATTTATCTAAAAAAAGAAATAATAAAAGTGATTTGGAGGGGAAAAAACCCTGATTTTATAGTGTCCAGGTCATAGTATTTGTAACAGCAGTTCAGAAGCGTGAAAGCTGAAACGCATTAAAACCAGCAGGTACTGAACTGTCATTCATTTGACGGTTACCTTGGTGACGGAGGGGGGCGGGGCTTGTTCTGATTCGTCACTGTTGGCTTTATATTCTTCCTCCACTGAGTTCATCTCCTCTGCTTTCTTCTCCGGCGTTTCTATGGCGATGAAGTCATCTGTAGCGACAGCGGGTTTGGCGTTCTTCTCGTCGTCATAGCTGACCGTCACTGATCACACAGACACATTGTTACGATCGCTCAGAAAAACGCTGAGACTGAGAGTCAATCCTCATTCAGAAAAGTTACATTTGATACTAAACTTCACAGATTTCATCCTACATCAAAAGGGAGGAACAAATCGGCATTTATATGTGCAAAAACTCCTTTGCACCTTCTACACCAGCACATAAAACATATATAAACAAAAAATCACTATATGCATTAATATTATTATACATCAAATGAGCAATATAACTGATTTGCTATAATTATGCCACTAAAATTAATTAATTAATTATATAAATACTAGTAATGCACCAAAATGAAAATTTTGGCTTGGAACCTAAAAATATTATTTAATAATCAATGAATTAATCAAATGTATATAATAATCAAGTTGTACAAACATTTAAATTGCACAGTTTTATGTCATTTTTTAATAACAGAATTATGTTTTTACTCCAATTTGTGGTTTAAATATAAACATTAAAATGGTAGCTGTAAAAAAACAAAACCCCTTTGATTTATTCAAACATATATTAAATAATAAAGACATCAGGTTAAGTAAAAATATAATGAATATGTAATTTAGTCCATATATTTTGTAAAATTCAGTGAATCACCAATACATAATAAATAAAAAATATTATAATATATAATGATGCTAATAATAATTAATAATAAATTGTATTTATTATTAATTTAATTAATAAATGTATTAACTATATCTAGCAAAATTCTGTGCATCACTGACAAATACTTAATGAATAATTTATAAATAAATAATACTATATATATAATAATACACATAATATATATATATATATGTGTGTGTGTGTGTGTGTGTATGTATATATATATATATATATATATATGTGTTTCAAGTGTATATTAATTGTGATTTATAAAGAAGGATGCATTTAGGACACACAGACTTGTAATGTATTTGCAGGCTCGCTTTAGGCACGGCTTTATAAATGAGGTTTTAACTCAGTAACTTGACTAGCAGGTTAGTGTGAGTTAGGCGTTACGCACTGCTGTCCATGCTGGCTGTGACGGTGTGCCGTCGCTGGAACTGCGGCGCGGCTCGAGCGATCTGAGCGCTCGCGCGACGCGTCTGTGCTTGTGTTCGTCCGCTGTAGCGGAACTTTGAGCCCAACGACAGGAAGCGCTTGGGAGGAGCTTCAGGAGAAACCAGCCTATCAGGACGCAAGAATCAGACCGCTAATTAGTGATCGTTTACATTTAAACATTTCACTTACGCAAAATGTGTCTGATGCTTTTAATGCCAATCTTTCACATTTTCAAGCGCATAAAAACAAATTATGTGGTTTTTATGATGACACAACATTTATGTTTATACCACAATGATTTGGTAAAAAAACATTTAATAAATAAATAAATACCTCAAAGAGGAGAAAAGATTCTTATTTATTTATTTTTGTTAATGATAACAACACTGAAGAAACTAAAATATTTAAAGAACATTATGGCAAGCGCAATAAAAAATATTTAAAAATTATATTTTATTTTAGCTAGTTGCCAAAGCAACATTTTACATTTTCATTTAATTTAACTTCATGAAATAAAATAACTAAAAATATAATTAATTATTTTTTAAATAAAATTAATTAATAAAAACTATTTTAAAAATAAACAAAGCAGAAAATATAAAAATATAATAAAAATAAAAGCTAACTTAAAATAATTTTAAAACTATTTTATTATTATTAATAAAACTATTATCTCAATGATATTAAAAAACACTAAACTTTTATTTGAAGCACTAAAATGACAAACTGAAATAAAAATGAATAAAAACACTAAATATACATATTTAAAAAACTAATAGATTGACAAAAACACAATTTCAGATTACTAAAATTAAAATCAACAGGGAAAACATGAAAATAAAACTCAAAATATTAATAAATACTATATTAGTAGTATCTCAATGATACTAAAATAACACTAAACTTTTGTTCAATTTAAATTGAAGCAGTAAAATGGCAAACTAAAATAAAAAAAATTATAAAAACTAAATAGACATTTAAAAAAAAAAAACATAAAAATGACTAAAACAATTAAAATCAAAAGAGAAGATATAAGAAATAAAAAATATTATATATGAACACTACTGACCTGAAGAAGGTGTGATGCTCCACACAAACTTTCCAGAGTCTCTTTGCTGCTTTGTGATTGGAGAGTTTGAATCCGATGGTGCTCTCGAACTGTTCCAGCTGAGCCAAAACAGAAAGCCAAGCATCTTAGACTCGTTCAGACAGCAGATTCAGATTCTTACATTTAATCAGTGAACTAGAATAATAAGACATTTGGGCTGTTAGCAAGCAAATGAAATCAGTATCAATTCATCTTTGCAGTGCAGAGGAAACACAGAAGCTGCGTCTGAAGAGGCGTTTAGACGTGTTTACACACAAGACATGAATGCATTTAACCTGCAGTTACTAATGCAGAAATACTGTGTTGATATATTAAACATAAAACCTTGAATACTGATATTCGAAATTATCAACAAAAAAATGAAAAGCAACTTTAAATGTGAAATTAAAACCACCAGTAGGTGGCACAACATAAAAATGAAAATGTTATATAAAATAACTTAAAATATTTATTTAAAAAACTATGTTAGTTTTTTAATGTCTGTATAGTTTTTATCAATTTCTATTTCAATTTTAGTTATTTTAAAAGTTAAACTAAATTGAAAATGTTGCCTTGGCAACCAGCTGAAATACAGTTTAAATTCAAGCACTAAAATGAGTATTAAAACTAAAATAAAATCTAATCTAAATAGAAATATAACAATTTTTTTTTAAATGACAAAAGTAAAAAATGTAAAATTACATAAAGCTTAAAATGATTTTATTTTAGTGAATGCTTTTCAAGTAATGACAATGTTTTTTATGGTCTTAGTTTACAATAATAACCCTGGTATGGACCAAATTACGATGCATGGCGCTTTTGTCCTTTTAGGATCTTAACAGTGTTGAAAAATGTCTGAACTGATTTTGTATTGAAAGATTTTTCCCTTTATGTTGCACAGAGATGATCTCATGTTCAGAATGAGGAAGCGTCTCTTTAAACACTTATACCAGGAGACGATCAAATGAATCGATAAACCAATGCAGCTCAACACGAGCGTCTGCAGCATCAGCGTGACCATCAACACTGAACGACAACACAATGGAGAACGGATTCACGATGAAGCTGCGAGACGCTCGTGTTGAGCTGATATAGAGGACAAACAAAGCACAACGACACGCCGAAGACCTTCATCATCCCGCTCATGCAGAGCCACAGAAACACTACAATAACCATCACAGACACACACAAGACCTACCAAGAAAAAGCACACATGTATCCACAAACACAGACGACACACAGCATCTTACCTCCTCCTGCGCCGCTGCTAAACACTCAAACAGCCGGCTGACCAGCTGAGCCAGCGGAGGAGGGGCGAGAGACAGACACAGAGAGAGAGAGAGAGATGGGCTGCAGCAGCGAGAAAGTGCATTAACATCAGCACATTCATTTATGATCACATGAGCAGCTGCGCAGAACCTGAACGACGTCATTTAAAGGTGCAGTACGTACTTAAGCACATCTTTCCACTGCAGAGGAAACAGAAGCAGCATCTGAAGTGGCTTTAGATGTATTTACACAGACTGCTTGATGATAAATGCATTACACCACAAAATTTCAAACGCATAAATAATTGTATAAGATTAATGTTTTTGAGCATACAAGTTAACTCTTTCCCCGCCAGCGTTTTTGAAAAATGTTGCCAGTTTTTTTAATAAAAAAAGTATCATTTGAGCGAAAATCACATTTTTATCTGGATCATATTCAGTAATATTATCAAAACAAAGCAAAACTGCAGTAGATGGCTTCCATCAGCGCTCCCAAAGCTTGCACAGGCCTTTAACACATTTCACTCGCTAAAATTCGGCAGTTTTCATTTATATGCGGTAAGTGTTGATGATCGCATTATTTTTCATATGCATATGCTTACATATGAGATCGCTCGTTTCTGCGGAGATGCGTAATAGCGCCACCAAGCGTATAATAGTGAGAACGCGGAAACCCAGAAAATTCCGTGTTTGGCAGGGAAAGAGTTAAGAATGTTGGGAAAAATGCAATACTTTTAAATATGAAACTAAACAACCAGTAGGTGGTGGCAAATTACTCTTTAAACGAGTGAGTCATTTAGTCCTTCATTCAACCGATTCGTTCAAACGGCTGATTCATTCAGAAACGAAGCAAGTGACTCTTTATGAATGAGTTACTGAATCATTGACTCACTCGATTCGTTCAAAAACGTGGATTCATTCAGTATCGAAACACCGCTGTATTGCTCCGAGACACAAAACAGTTCTGCTGTGGCTTGATTGGAGCTATTGTCATCAGCGAAACTGAGCAAAAACAGTCAATATTTTGACTTCTTGTTGATTGAACTACTATTGAATAAAATCAGTGTCACATTGCAATCGTGTTGATTTTCAGGAAAACATCTTTCCACAAACAGAAGAAGTGTGTTTTAGCACTCGGTCCGATCCACTTTCAACAATGTTTCTGAGAAATCGCTTACTGCGCCTTTAAAATGCTTGTGTGTTTATTAAATATTTGGGATAATTTGATGATGCTTTTATGTAACGTAACACTTCATGATCAGTGGCATTATCTGTGTTCACAAGTGTTTAAATAAACATTATAAACTGATAAATCCACATCGGAAATCTGATTGGATGAGCTGCCTCTGAAAAAGTGGGCGGGACTAATGCACTTTATTCAAATTATTTCACTTGAATAGAGCGCATTAGTCCCGCCCACTTTTTTCCAGCAGCGCTGATTCCAGAAGTATTTTTAACATTAATTTTTCCAATGGATTTTTTTTTTAAAGTCTCTCTTAAAGCATTAAAAGCCATGAATCAAAGCAACCAGCTACAAGGAGAATCAAAGCACTACAAACTTTGATTTGAAGCAAGAAAATAAATGAAAGCATATTGCCATTGATTAACAACATCTAGTTTCGCTCTATTCTATACCAAAATGCACTTTTAAGTGTTTATTTCATTGCACTTTTTATCTATTTGCATAAATGTGTGCACATTTAATTATATCATGCCTAATTTGCCTATTTAGACATTTCAGAATACTTGTATTAGAAAACAATTGTCTTAATTGATTGTGATTATTAACTGTTGTAATGTCAGGATGAGCAGCACTGCAGCAGGTTGATGAGAGAAGTGTTAGTACAGCAGACACACAACACACACACACACACACACACACACACACACGC